CGTAGGTATAAAATAAATTAAATCACGACGTTTCGGGCGCAACACAAGCGTCCGCCATCAGGTGGGACAACCACAGCAAGAAACAATTGCGCCTGAAACGTTGTGATTTAATTTATTTTATTTTATACCTACGTGACTTTACCGAAAGAACCAAAGAGTAGGAGGTCGTGGGTTCAATCCCGACCCTGATACCTGAATATTTGGAGTTTGCATATCCTCCCCGTGGTCCGGGTCCTCCGTTTTTTTTGCCTCCACATTTAGAATCAACCTCACGCGTTTAGAGTTTAGCTGCTGTAAATTTCCACATGATAAGCCACTTTAGTAGGCTATCATTTGTAAAAGCCAGGTCGCTTCTGAAAAAGAGCTATAAAGCAGCTCAGCAGGCCTTACCTCGTACATTAAAAAAAAAATTGTTTGACTGAGAACCTAAATCAAAAGGGGCACATTTACCGATGAAGTGACAACTCGATTTGATTGGCTTTGACGCTGGGTGGTGGAAGGGGCTGCAGCTAAACGGTCCACATTGTGCACTGCGTGACTATCTGACCCGAGCAGCGGCCACAAAAGCCTGCGTGTCGACTTAAGAGCCCAGTTGCTGCTGCTCAAATCATCCTGTGAGGCATCGTCGGTGCTCATCTCCTTTCATATAGCCACCGCTGAGCCGGCGGTGGAAATTCCACGCTCCTATGGCCGGGGGGTGGCTGGCGGGGACGAGTCCATCCCGTAGGATGACAACCATGCGCAGCGCGTTTGTGTGCCCGTGCGTCACCAAATCTCATGCAAATGATCTGCCGCTGTATTTAGGCCGAGGGGTTGCACGAGACGGTTGACGACCCCAGGAAATCACCGAGAAGAACAGAAATGGGGACGGCGAGAGGGGGCGGAAGGGCGGCACTGGCGCTGCAGTGGTGATGCCCACGCCTCACGGCGAAGAAAAGGGGGCCCCTGAGTTCGATCCGTGATACGGGTTTCCGTTGATACTGTGCGGAGGTGGTACGTTCTCCCCCACCATGAGAGGGCGCCAAGGTGACGAGGAGATGTTAGCTGCCTCGCTCGGCGTACAGGAGGTCGTGAGTTCGGCCCGTCTCTCTCCTCACGGTCGTGTGGATTTTTTTCCTGGGTCCTCCGGTTTCTCCCTCCACATTTAGAATCAACGTCACGCATTCAGAGTATTTGGCTGCTGCTATTAATTTCCACGTGATGATGAGCCACTTTGTTGAGCTATCATTTGTGATCGCCAGGTCCCTTCTGAAAAAGAGCTACATAGCTCAGTGGCCCTTACCTCGTAAATCACAATATATTGCATACTCTTTGGTTCTTTCGGTAAAGTCACGTAGATATAAAATAAATTAAATCACGACGTTTCGGGTGCAACATAAGCATCCGTCATAATTTTATTTTTATATCTACGTGACTTTACCGAAAGAACCAAAGAGTATGGAGCCCTGCAGTCACGAAAACTTCAACAATATATTGTTTTCTTCTATGAAACCTGTGTAGCATCGTGCAATAAAGTTCAGCATGATACGACCACCAAATGTCAGCGCAAGACCGGTTCATGCCGGCAAAACGCACATGCAAATTGGGAAAACCTGAGGCAAGAGGGCAGCTGCCCCTAGAGGGATGACGTGCGTGGGGTTGTGACCCTGCTCGGGGATTGAACTTGTGTGGCTGAGAGCAAGGGAGGAAGCAACCCTGCCTCGTGGCTCATAGAGCGAGGGCTCCGCCATGTGGCCTCTGGGCGCCACTGCATCCGTTGCGCTCGCTCGCTGGTGGCTACGTATGCATGTTGGACTTCTTTCGCACCGTACGTAGCCAACCATGCTAATCGGAGGTGTGGGGGGAAGGACAACACAAAAAGCAGTTCTAAAGAAATTGGTTTGTCAATATAGATAATTTAAAAGTGCATAGCTCCAGTGGCTTCCTAATATCGGAAGTAAGAGCATTCCAGATGGCCGCAGAAACATATCTGAAAGCACGCGATGTGGTAACCGTCTTTGTTCGTGGCCAGGCGATAGCCGCTGCTGCTGTAAGGATGACCGGAGTTTTCGTGATGGTTTATGCTCCTTGACGACATCAGCAAGATATTGTGGTTCATTTGTGGCAAGAACTTTGTGTGTTTAACACAAAGGCTTTTGCAGCCAAAATTATCCAAAAGAGAAGGTTTCTGGGGTATTATCGCGTAAATGTGAATGTTTTGTTAAACCCGCCACCACCTAACACGGCCAATTAGTAAGGTCTGTCACGTAAACAAAAAATGCCAATTAGTTGCTAGTTCAGCAGACCCGGTGTGTTGGAGAGTAAACCCACAACATTTACAATTCGAGTATCGTGACGTTTCGCTGGTAATTACAACTATCCTCATCAGGCGATATCACCTGCTGCTTTCCCGTGAGTTTGTGGTTCCTCCTCCCTGCTGCAGACCCCTCTGAGTTGTCCCCCCTCTCTCTCTCACTCTCTTTACGAGCGTGAACCCTGTGTGGTGGTGGTAGCGGCGCGTTTCAAGTTAAGTTTTGTCGTCAAGTGACCAACACGGGGTCGGAAACCAAACTAACGAGAGGGGTGGAGCCATGCCTTTTTTCGAGTTCGCACACAAAACAACCTCATTATAATCACGGAGACTGCGAATTTGTGCGATGGGAGGGGTAGCGACGGGACTGCCCGTGTGGTTAGTTGGTTGTCCTCACGAATCTCCAACTAGTGTGGCTGGCCACGTACGGTGCGAAAGAAGTTCAACTCACAATACATATCTATTAATAATTTAACAATTATTGTTCATTACAATTGGTGTGATAACTAGTATTAAGAATTATTAATAATTAAATTATATATTATGATGTATATACATAACAATAATTACTATGTCAACTCGTGACATGCCACCGCACAGGAGTCGCTCGCTCTCTGAGAGAGAGAGTACGACTTGGAGGCGCTAGAAGGAGGAGCCATCGACGTGTGGGAAGGCACCCGGAGCCGGTGCCAAATTCTCCCCCTGCTCCTCCTCCAAGCTCCGTGGTCCTCTGTATATGAAGGTGTTGTCGGCCAGTTAATGAGTGTTGATAGGTGTGGGAGGAAACCGGAGCACCCGGAGAAGACCCCACAGCAATCTCCTGCCGCTCAAATGCACGGCGCTCACCTCCTGTTATTACAGCTCTTGGAGAGCCAGCGATGTATGTTGTACGTCGCCAACCGTACCCATCGGACAACTAACTCGCACACAAAAACAGTTATAAAGAAATTAGTTTTCAATCTATGTTTAAAAGTGCATAGCTCCAGTGGTTTCCTAATATATCGAGGAAGAGCCTTTCAGACAGCCACAGAAGTGCATCCAAAAGGGCGTGATGCATTGGTTGAACACAAGCAAAATCTCTGGACCGGTTTCAACATTCATCATCTCGTCGGCAGATTCGGCAGCGTTCCTTGAACTAATGCCGGTGAACTGCCAATTGTTTGTAGGCAAGGCCCGGTTTTGACATTCAATGTCTCATCAGCAGCAGCGTAGTCAGGCTCGCTTGACCCAATGCTGAACTGCCAGATGGTTATAGGCAACGACTGGTTCGGTGCCTCATCAGCAGTGACAGACTTTGCTTGAACCAATGTTGGTTTAACTGCCATATGTTCTAGGCAATGACTGGATTTGACATTCAGTGTCTCATCAGTAGCAGAGTCTGGTTCGGTTGACACAATGCTGTTGAACTACTGCCAGATGTTTTATAGGCAAGGGACCCCTCTGCTAGATGCGGGTCCTAGTTCGACGCAGATCGTATGCTCTCCCACTAGAGGCGTGTGGCTGATGGGATGTGTAACAAAATGTGTGCTTCGTGTATTTCCACGTGGAGTGACGGATGGGCGACCGAGCGGTCGCGCCGTGTTGCCTGCTTTGTGATTTCAGTTTCTATATTCTCCACCGGGACGCTGACGTTTTGTTCAGCATAACTGAAATATAAGGCCCTTGGTCCCATTCACTGCTGGAGGAAGGCATCGCCACGGCCGTGCCAGTCAATGGGGGGTGGGGGGGTTGTTTGGCCATTTTTTACCATTCTGGTCAGTGCAGCAGGAGGGGTGGTTGGAGGGAGCAAAGTGGGGTGGGGGGGGGGGGGTGTCTCGTGGCAAGATGTTGGCTCCCTCCCCTGGTATAAAGATTCTATAATTAGTCTTGGCCAGTAGTAGCTAATTTTGCACAGAACTTCAACATTATCAAACGGGACGAATGATCAGCACGAGACTAAAAGAACACAAATGAAATATTAAAAACTCCCAGATACAACTGTCAGCAGTAGCAGAACACGTGTGCCAACAAGGGCACTCAATTGATTTTGATGATGTTAAAGTACGACGTATAATGACACAATGCCCCGATCCACAAATACGAAGGAGACATCATGGCGATGGTGCTACACTCCGCTACTTCTGACGAGGTTGTCTTCTTGCTTGACCACCTGAATGTAAAATTGTAAAATTGTAGTTGTTGGTTCTGTATCTACATCAGCAGCCAAACAAGAAGAAGAGACGGATCCATATTCGCGCAAAGTAAAAAAAAACTACTCTGCACATTCACTCAGTTTGCTTTTGCACACACTGGGCAGTAAGCAGTCATCGGCCACTAATGGCAGCAGACTCATGCCAGCTCGCAGACTAGGCACCGAGTCACCTCGTGGTGCACAGGGACAGCTGCTGCTTGCGGGCAGGGGGTGTCTTTCGAATGTTTTAGGTGAGATATGAGATGCGACGACCCAAGACACTTTGAGCTGCTGGGCAATTATAAGTAAGCTCCGCCGTATGAATGAAAATATTCACGTTAATTTAAAGATAAAATTGTGATCATGACTTGCGTTGGATATTGCGATTTTTGGATTGCGGTGGTGCGGCGGTGGATTGCGTCCGTGGATTGCGATGGTGGAATACGACCGTGGATTTGCGTACATGGATTGCGACGGTGGATTGCGACGGTGATGTGACTGATCCGTGTGTTGTGCTGCGTGGTGTGCATCTCGTTGCAGACATGAGGATGAGTGATTCGCCAGATGCTGCTAAACACACACTGGATGGGCAGGAGGGCAGCCCAGGTCTGTGCTGGACCCAGGAGCCGTTCGCTACAGCTCATATCCCCCTCCTGCTGCAACAGCAGCACAGCCAAAACCACCACCAGCACAGTAAACACAGCCAACCACCACCACAACCACCACCACAACCACCACCACAACCACCACCACAACCACCACCGCAACCACAGCCACCAGGATAAACATAGCTACCTCAACCACCACAATAAACACAGTCACAACCACCACAACCACCACAACAGCCACCATGATAAACACAGCCACCACAATCACTACCAGCAGAGTAAGCAAAGCCACCCCAACAGCACTACCATGTTTGGTGCATAATTATTGGTGCATAATTCCCACTCGTGCTGCCATCCCACAACCACTGTCACTCAACCATTACTGCCCTAACGCTACAACCACCGTCACAACAGGCACCGGCACCGCCATCCACCGCCCCAGCAGCGTCACACGTGACCACACGCTCAGTGCAGGGTCCCCTTCGTGTCAGGTCTCAGTGAGTGGCAGCGCTGCTCTAGTGGCTGTGGCTCAGTGCAGGGTCCCCTCTGCATCAGACGTCAGTGAGTGGCAGCGCTACTCTGGTGGCTCTCAGGGTCACGTAACAACATCGAAAGCCGTGGACATCTCCCTATGCACACTCGGTCCTACCCAATTTAGAGCGCGCATTTTGAGATTACGGATGCGCATGTTGATTCGTAAATTCTGTGCTCAGCCTCTAATGCCGTGTGCGTGCTGTGTATTTTATGCGGGTGTGTGTTGTGTGTGTGATGTGTGCACTGTGTGTGCTGTGTATTGACTGCGGGCTGTGTGTATGTACTGTGTTGATTGTGTGTTTGTGTATTCTATGCTGGGTGTACTGTACACGTGAACTGTGTATTAACTGTGTGCAGTGTGTACTGCGTGCTGTGTCTACTGTGTATTGACGGCGTGCTGTGTATTGATTGCATGCTGTGTGTGCTGTGTATTGACTGTGTGCTGTGTGTGCTATGTATTGACTGTGTGCTGTGTGTGCTGTGTATTAATAACTGTGTGCTTTGTGTACTGTGTACTGACTGTGTACTATGTGTGCTGTGTATTGACTGTGTACTTTGTACTGACTGCGTGCCATGCGTGCTTTGCGCAGGTAAGGAGCGGAATGGGCTGGACTTCCACCGACAGGTCATCACTTCCGCACAGGCACAGGCCATCCTGGGCCACTTCCAGCAGGTGGCACTGCTTACGCACCGCACCCTCACCGCACCCTCACCGCACCCTCACCGCACCCTCACCGCACCCTCACCGCTCTCTCACCGCACCCTCACCACACACTGCACTCTTACCACACTCGCAATACCCTCAGTCGCCCATGGCCGAAGCGCAGCGAGTCCCCACGCGACGCCTCTAGGCAACGCTGATCAGAATCTGGAGTATTTCTACTGCAGGAGGAGGAGTCCGATAAGCTGGGAAGCTCTTTGTCACAGATGTCCACCAGTAGCGTATATCCTGAGCCACGGTGTCTGCCTCAACCGTGGCCCGCCCCACAGTCGGCTTCGCTCCCACGATAGATCGTTGATGATGGTGCGCAGGGCTCCTGGTTTGCGACGCAACTCGCACGCTGATACACTCGCACACACAGGCAGAGATGCCCCGCGTAGCCTTCAACAGACCATCGCGGCAAGTGTTGTTAGCGAGCAGCACCAGTGAAGGCCGGCACGGCACGCGAGGGGGTGGGGTGGCCAGCACCACGCCCGGCCGCCTTTGTCGCCCCAGTAACGATGTTTACACACCACACCAGGTACTCATTTGAGGCTAAGTTGATCAAGGGGAAGCCCAGGACCGGTTCAGATCATCATTACTTTGGAGTGCGACAGGATAAAACGCAGCAAGTTGGCTCAGTGGGGAGCACAGGTGGTGCATCTGCCAGTCCTCTCAGTCGGTCAGTCAACCAATGGCACCTGGGTCTGTCACGTGACCCCCTGTCAGCGAGCCTTGGACACTTCACATGGGTGTCGCAGTGCACTTAGTCTAGCACAAGTGCCGTGGTGACGTCACCCCCACCTTGTGGTGAACGACGGTTGTTGTGTGCTGACGTGTTGACGTGTGTGTGTGCACGCTGCCTGCAGGTGCATTTGGGTGCTGCGTTACAGACAGCCGCCGCCGCACAATCACTCCAGTCGCCGGCATTAAACCTGCAGGTATGGTGGGGCATCTACAGGGGGGAGGGGGATCCTCCTGTATGAGGTTTATAGTGTGCGATGGTGTGGGTGTGTGAGATGTGTGAGTATGTGGAGTATATGTCTATGTCTTTGTGCAACAATTTGCTTGATGTTTGTGCGTATGAGAGTACGTGATGTTGTGCGTGTCAGGAGCGGTAGTGTAGCGGCTCGTGCACTGCGCTATGAACCCGGCGACCTGAGTGAGATTAACGCTCACCACCAACACCAGTGACGATTTTCTGAACCGGTGATGGCCCTCTCCTAGGTCTCAAATAAGTACCTGGTGCGGTGTGTAAACATCGCCACTGGGGAGACAAAGGCGGCCGGGCGTGGTGTTGGCCACCCACCCCCTCGTGTGCCGTTCCGCCCTTCATAGGTGCTCGCTAACAGCACTTGCCCCCTACAGTCTGTTAAGGCTATACGGGGAATCTTTGTCTTTGTATGTATATATGAGTGTGTGTGTGCCGCATGCTTCCTGGCACAGGGAGCTAATGGAGCCAAACCGAGTTTCCGTGGCTGTGCAAAGGGGGACGGATCTGAGCGAGCTCACATCCGTCTGCATTAGGGTACGGGGTTCCAGTCCCCTAGGCTTCACACTGAGCCGTGTGTGCGTGCACGCAGGTGCTCAGGCGTATGTGTGTACATGTGCTGTGCGTGTGCAGCGGTAGTGTAGCGGTTAACGCAGCTGCGCAATAAACCCGGCTATGACCCGAGTTTGATTCCTCGCTCGCAGCCAACACGAATGACTATTATCTGAACCCGTCCTGGGCTTCCCCTAGGTCGGCTCAGCCTAAAATGGGTACTGGTGCAGTGTGTAAAAACATCGCCGCTGGGGAGACAAAGGCGGTCGGGTCTGGTGCTGGACACCCACCCCCTCGTGTGCCGTGCCCGTCTTCACGTGCTCGCTAACAGCACTTGCCCTAACAGTCTGTTAAGGCTATACCGGGGATCTTTGGCTTTGTCTAACAGTGGCAAAGCATTTCTGATCTGGTTCGAGACCTCCCCCAGGTCGACTAAGCCTTCAACGATTACCATTTGTGGTGTGTATGAAGCATCAACACTGGCGAAGACAAAATGCGTCCGGGCGTGGTGCTAGCCACACATCCCACTCATAGGCGTGCCTTGCCGGCCTTCATAGGTGCTCGCTAATAGCACCAAAGGCCCTTGTTTTTGTGCGTGTGGGGGAGCGGTCGTGCAGTGATTACCGCAGCGCGCTACGATCCCTGCGACCCGACCATTCCCGCTTAAGGCCAATGACAGCGACTATTATGTAAACCGTCCCTGGGTCTCCTTTAGGTCAACTCAGCTGAAAATCAGTACTTAGTGTGGTGTGTTAACAAGCACTGGGGAGACAAAGGTGACCGGGCGGACGTGGTGCTGGCCACACCCCCCACCCCCTTGGAGGCGCACTATTCCGGCCTTCATGGGCGCTCCTCCCTAAGACCAATTGACCCAGCAGCCTGTGTGGGCTAGACAAAGGACCTTTGTCTTTGCGGGTGTCTGCACGTGTGTCTGTGTGCCTGCGCGTGCCTCAAGGTGCACCGAGCTGGGCTCAAGTGCTGTGGCGAAGTCACCGCTGTTTGTTGTTGCTTGTGTGTGTGTGTTTGCACGTGCGTGTGTTTCCATGTACAGTGAGGGAAAAAGTATTTGATCCCCTGCTGATTTTGTACGTTTGCCCACTGACAAAGAAATTATCAGTCTATAATTTTAATGGTAGGTTTATTTGAACAATGAGAGACAGAATAACGACAAAAAAATCCAGAAAAACGCATGTCAAAAATGTTATAAATTTATTTGCATTTTAATGAGGGAAATAAGTATTTGACCCCTCTGCAAAACATGACTTAGTACTTGTTGGCAAAACCCTTGTTGGCAATCACAGAGGTCAGACGTTTCTTATAGTTGGCCACCAAGTTTGCACACATCTCAGGAGGGATTTTGTCCCACTCCTCTTTGCAGATCTTCTCCAATCATTAAGGTTTCGAGGCTGACGTTTGACAACTCGAACCTTCAGCTCCCTCCACAGATTTTCTATGGGATTAAGGTCTGGAGACTGGCTAGGCCACTCCAGGACCTTAATGTGCTTTTTCTTGAGCCACTCCTTGTTGCCTTGGCCATGTGTTTTGGGTCATTGTCATGCTGGAATACCCATCCACGACCCATTTTCAATGCCCTGGCTGAGGGATGGAGGTTCTCACCCAAGATTTGACGGTACATGGCCCCGTCCATCGTCCCTTTGATGCGGTGAAGTTGTCCTGTCCCCTTAGCAGAAAACACCCCCAAAGCATAATGTTTCCACCTCCATGTTTGACGGTGGGGATGGTGTTCTTGGGGTCATAGGCAGCATTCCTCCTCCTCCAAACACGGTGAGTTGAATTGATGCCAAAGAGCTCCATTTTGGTCTCATCTGACCAGAACACTTTCACCCAGTTGTCCTCTGAATCATTCAGATGTTCATTGACAAACTTCAGACGGGCATGTATATGTGCTTTCTTGAGCAGGGGGACCTTGCGGGCGCTGCAGGATTTCAGTCCTTCACGGCGTAGTGTGTTACCAACTGTTTTCTTGGTGACTATGGTCCCAGCTGCCTTGAGATCATTGACAAGATCCTCCCGTGAAGTTCTGGGTTGATTTTTCACCATTCTCATGATCATTGCAACTCCACGAGGTGAGATCTTGCATGGAGCCCCAGGCCGAGGGAGATTGACAGTTATTTTGTGTTTCTTCCATTTGCGAATATTCACACCAACTGTTGTCACCTTCTCACCAAGCTGCTTGGCGATGGTCTTGTAACCCATTCCAGCATTGTGTAGGTCTACAATCTTGTTCCTGACATCCTTGGAGAGCTCTTTGGTCCTAGCCATGGTGGAAAGTTTGGAATCTGATTGATTGATTTATTCTGTGAACAGGTGTCTTTTATACAGGTAAGCTGAGATTAGGAGCACTCCCTTTAAGAGTGTGCTCCTAATCTCAGCTCGTTACCTGTATAAAAGACACCTGGGAGCCAGAAATCTTTCTGATTGAGAGGGGGTCAAATACTTATTTACCTCATTAAAATGCAAATCAATTTGTAATAAAAGGACTCGAACACTTCTTTCTGTCTTCGTGTCTTTATTCAGGTTCACGTCTTTACCCACACGGCACTCTGTTATAACTCCTGTATTTGTAGCCCCCGGCTATTCACTGCTATTATAGCTTCCTCTCCCCTCTGACTCTCTGCTTCATCTACTGTAACCTCCTCCCTGCAGACTCGCTGCTACCCCTATGCAGACTCCCGCTGCTACCCCTATGTGCAGACCCTCTGGCTGTCACTATATGCAGACCCGCTGCCCACCCTCTCTGTGCAGCCCCGCTGCTGACTGCAGCCTCCTCGCTGCTTCGGGTCGGTCACCGCTGGCCAACGGTGCCGATCCTCGCTCCCCCCGTGTTCGTGGCGATCTCGCCACACCCCGCTTCGCCCTTCGTGGCCTTCCTCTGTTCCTGGTTCCCCGTCACTCCCCTTGCTCTTCCGGTTCCCCTCCTTCTATACTCAACCCCTCTGCCCCCCACGTGACCTAACTCCTCCCCCCCTGACGGCACCTCAGAAGGGCCGTTTACAACCGCATTACATCACCCTCCCCCCTAAAGAAAATCCAGCCGACCTCGGCTGAATTGCAACCTGAAAAGCAATGCGGGTGTAAAGGGCCAACACGCAAAAAGACACGAAGCATTGAAGACATTATAACAATAACACAACGCAACACAATCTAACGAAACGTGAGGGATTTCGAGCGAGTACGGGTAGCCGGGCCGTCCCGGACGGTCGGCGGCCCACCCGCCGAGCGGGAACGTGGAAGGGTTTTAGGGGCGACGGGCGCAAGTTCTTCCGTCGCCATTGGAGGCCCGCCACTGTCCCGCTCGCGTCCAGAAACATCCCGTACTCGCGTCCGCGGAGGGATAGGAAGAGCTGCAGGTCCCGTGGGTTCTGCGGCTCCGGTCGGCGTCCCACAAGCGGAAGGTCCTCCTCCCTGCGCTGTCACGGCCGGCTTGTCTGTGAAGGGTACGACAGGCGCTCTCGCAAGGTCAGCAGACACAGGCAAGGGCGAGTCGGCAGCAACAGACCCCGGCAAGGCAACTTGGGGAGATGACGCATCCGGCCGTGGGGCAATGTATGGCTTCAACCGGGACGTGTGCACGAACCAACGCCGTGCACCAACCTGAACACGCGCCGACTGTGGGTTGGGAACCTCAATGAGGCGGACCGGACCCTGCCAAGGTCGATGTAATTTAGGAGATGTACCTGGCCGCACCTGTGGGCAATGAAGCCAGGCCAGGTCCCCCTTTTTCCAGGGACACTCCCCCTTTGAACGTCGGGCACACCGCTCATTCCTGGCCTGAGCCTTGGCAGTAGCCATGCGGGCATTTTCCCTCGCCTCAGCGACACGCCGAACGTTGTCCTTAATATACTCAGGAAGAGGCTTAACAGGCCCCCTCGCACCGGTTCCCAACTGGTCATGAATCGGCGGCACGTTCTCACGGCCGTACATAAGGAAAAACGGCGAGTATCCAGTAGCCGCGTGCGGCGTCATGCGATACGCCGAAAGCACCCCAGGGATATGCAAATCCCAATCAGATTGGTTTTCCCCGACTGTATGGCACAGCATGGCGGACAGAGTCCGATTCAACCGTTCCACCATACCATCCGTTTGCGGGTGGTAGGGGGACGTCCGTATCTTTTTAGTTCCAAGAGCCGCACACACCTCCCCCAACAATTTAGACGAAAAGTTACGTCCCTGATCCGTAAGGAGCCTCTCCGGAGCCCCTTTGTCCATTACATACCCAAATAGAAAGGCGTCCGTGATAGACGCCGCTGACTGGTCAGGCAAGGGCCAGGCCATCGGCCAGCGAGAGAGGTACTCCACCCCCACCAGTAAATACTTATTCCCTTTAGCTGATGGCGGAAAGGGTCCCAAAATATCTAACGCCACCAACTCATTAAC